GGAGCACACTTTGCTACTGAAATGTTGCAGTCTCCAGCAGGCAGTTTCCTCCTCGCTCTTGCTCACAGGATCCCTTTTTCCCTTCAGCCTGGGCAGCAGCCACAAGATTATTTGCTCCTTTTGCAAACCCTTTGCAGCAGTGCAGCCTGCTCCCTGTTATTCCAGCGACTGAGATACCCTGGAAGTTCTTTCCACAGCCCCAAAAGTGAAGCTGCCTCCACAGTTTGTTCCTCTTGGTCGCGATTTCTTTGTTCTCTCTCTCATTTTTTTTTATCTGCTTCCTTCCTCTGCCAACTGCCCCATCTCGATCACATTTCTCTTTTCTTTCTCCTCACTTTATTTCCAATGGGTTCCATCTGGCTCAGAGGCACCATCTGCTGGGCACAGCTGCACTCTGCACCCACTGCAACACCAAGCTGCTAGATACCAGCCCAGCGCAAAGATGTCCCAACCCCACTTCCCACTTCCTCCATTCCTGGACTTTCTTAAGCTGTAAAATCTAATAGATAAAGGCTCTGGGTATGTCTAGATTAGGATCAAAGCTGCTTGATCAGCTAGTCCATGTTAAAATACAACTTACCCTTTCTACATTAACATTTTAAAACAAGGGTTGGCACCACCATGTTGTGTGATGGACACCTGACAAAATTACCGGACTTAGTGACGGACATTGGCAAGGGGTTATGTCATTCAGTCATTCCATTTTTTTAAAAATTACCACAGACCTCAACATTTTTATCCAGACACGTTGCTGACCCCTGTTTTAAAACATGTTGGCTAACGTTTAAAAAAAACCAAACTCCACATCTTTTATCTAAATCTAGCCAGAACCTTTCAGAAAGACAGAGCCTGATCCCTCTACTGCCCTGTTCCTTGCGCCATCATCTGCAGCTGTGCCAAGCGAGTGTGAAACACGGACATTTTGATCTGCTTGCATTTTACATCCAATTTGCACAGGTGGAAATACCTGAACTAGGTTTGAAGCAGTGGAGAATGAGGCACCTAGAGAAGATGTATGAATAAAGGGAAGGTTGGATGGATAGAAAAACACACCCGAATCTAGAGATGGGGACAGACAGACAAACAGAAGCACTAGGATCTAGGGATAGAAATAGATTAGACAATATTAAGGCAAATATATCTTCATGCAGATAGCAGGTAGCTTAGCAGTTGCAGTAAATATACTTATTACAATAATATTCAAGTCCCCAATCAGAACTGGAGCCCCATTGTGCTGGGTGCTGTCCAAACACAATGGGCCAGACCCTTCCCAGCTGGAAGTCCACTGACTTCCCCAGCATTACACCAGGGATGAACTTAGCCCTACATAGTTGGATGACCTGCACCTTGTTCAATCATTTGTGCCAGGGCAGAATGCAAAGTGCTACCAGATTAGAAGAGCAGCATTTTACATTCCCTTTGCTCAGCTGCAAATGATGAGATACAGAGCAGAGCAATACAGGATCAGGCCCTAAATATTTGTCTCCAAGTTGTTGATAAAGAACACACAGTTATGTCTACACTCCCACTTATGACAGCAAAACGTATGTCGCTCAGGGGTGTTGGCATTCTAACCCCTCCCGCCGAGTGACATAAGTCACACCAACATAAGCGCTCGTGTGCACAGCACTCCGCCGCCATAGCTTCGGCCGCTCACTGAGGTGGTTATTTTATGCTGCAGTGAGAGCTCTCTCCCGTCGCCATAGTGTCTTCACCACACACGCTGCAGCAGCACAGCTGTATGTGTAGAGATCGGAGGGTACTCATAGGAAGCATTCTGGAGGCAGTACAAACATAGGCCCCTGCTGTGAACAGCAGTGTCTTTCTGTCATAGGGACCAACAAAATAAAATAAATAAATCACATCTTGTCTTGAACAGTATCCGCTACATTTGAGGTGTGTGTGGGGGAAATCAATGGTCTGTTGCAGATACTTTGCACATTACATTCTGGCAGCTATGTTTGGACCTGGGTCTGAGTGTGTGAGCACATGCACTCACTAGAGCAGGCAACAGTTGTGCAAGTGCTCACATTCACGTTTCTAGCAATGCACGTGGGCCTGCAGCAGGACAGTATTCCAGGACTTCTCCGCATCCCCATGAACACAGCTCTGCCAATGTGCTTCAATCTTGATTTATAGCGGTACTAGTCACAGGGCTCCCACAAACAGCACTGCCACTGTGCCTCAACCCCCCACTAGTCTAACGCCAGGCCTCGCCTGAACAGATCGCTGGTGGCGTTCCATTGTGTGGCTACTGGAGGAGCCGTGGCTCATTTTTTGCTTGTGATTTTATTAGGTCACCTGCATTAATAAGGAATTTCCCCAAGAGAGTTTGCATTAATTCCAGCCGGTTCTGCACATTAACTTTTCCATGCCCTAATAACTTCTGGGCACTGCAGGCTTGCACGACAATGATAAGCTGTGCCCATGCTCAAGGAAATGCTGGGGTAGCATCCATTCTTTTAGCAGTTTTCAGACGGAGCTTATATAAAAATGACAAACATGAGGTTTCCCCTAGCTCAGACTGTGAGCTCTTTGGGGCACGGGACTTTTTGTTATATTTGTGCAGAGTGCCTAGCATAACAGGGCCTGGTGCCTGTCTCGGACCTTTAGATGCTGCAACAGTACTGCTGCTCCTCCCCCTCCTCTCTCTATCGGGGTATCCCCTCCACCTGTAACCTTTCACAGTATACACAGAAGGGAAATTTATCTAAAATCCTCTTCCTTTGTCAGCAGCGTTAACAGTGCTGGGAACCCCTAGTGCCAATGTTTTAACCATGATGTCAGTTACGGCTAGACCTTTACTGAGAAAGGTGAGATGATGCAGCAGCGGCAGCCAATGACCCATCTATACCAGAGCTCCCAGCACTGACACCAGTGGAGCTGAACAAGTGTTAGAAATTATGGGAACATTTTGAAATTTCTCAAGTGGACACTGGGGCATAGTCAGAAAGGCCACGGCAACAGGTGAAAACAGCCTCTGATGCCTCTCTAACTTGAGCTGGCAGATGAACCAGCAGCTCCAGGACTGCCTCCTCTCCCAGGCCCAGAACCAAGTTCAACGCCAGGACAGAGATGAATTGGGTCCTTACCCCTTCTGCTCCATTTTCTCTGTCCTTCATACGCACAACCTGGCCACCAATGACAAAGGGACTAAAATAAACCACACTGAAGACTCTGCTGAAAGTAGGACACACAATATCTTTCATATTGACCTGCTAACAGTAGGTTATCTATGGCTCTTCTCAGAAGCTAATTATTTTACATGTTAAAATTAGGGTAATTAGATCAGCAGGAATTGCACGAAAAGCAGGTGTTAGTAACCTTATGAGGTGTCCTTTAACAAGGTTTTTGTTCCATTTGTGCCTTCTCCCCCTGAGGGAGGCAGTTATTGTTTCCTGCCCTCCAGAAGAGAACAGAAATGAGATATTGTGATCACCCCCATGTCATTAGTTACACAGCTATTGTCAAGTTTGCACCATTAATCTTCCCGCAGCTCTTTACACAGTGGCTCAGAACTCAGTCAAGACCACACAACAGATCACTGCCTAAAGGGTATTCTTAACGGCAGTATAATCCCTTTCAAATCACATTCACTGGCCAAGATACACACCTTAAAACTAGCTCTTTGCAGTTCATTGATACAACGGGTGATTGCAGTCAGAGAGGCCTTAGCATGATGGTTTCGCAGCAGCTCTTCAGTCTTTTCATTTTCAGCTGTACATTTTTTATGTAAAATCCTCTTCTCACTCTCCAACCCCATTACTCGATCCTGCTAGAAAGGCAAATGGCTATTCCCACCTTTAGCTCTTTCCATGAAAAGTGCAAATGGTTATTAATTAGCATCTGCAAAACTGCCAAATATAGAGATCTGGGAACATGAACATTGCTGAGTGTTTAGTATGTTTCAACAAAGGCCACAATTTGTGTGGCATTTGCACATAACGATATACAAGAGGCCCTTATTGTAAAGCACACAGTTTAAGGAATAAAAGATGCATTCAAAAGGAGAGATTGGCACTCTACTTTAGTGTAAACACACTTTAACCCACAGTGTGAAGGAAACATTAAACAACAACTGATTTGGTCTTTTCTCTATCGATCATTATACTGTGCTCATCACCCTGGTTTCTGAGCATCTTTTTCAATTATCTTTTTAAAGCAAATGTGTGGCAGAAAAGTGCTTCTGGCCAGGAGAGTCAGGTTCAAAGCAGGCCTGGAAACTTCTGCTTCTAAGGCTACTTGAGAACTGGAGGAAGCAAACTGTACATGTTTGGGAGAGGAGAGAAGAAAGCAGTGGAATCCACTCATTCTCTGCATGCCTCTGGCACTAGACATGGAGAGAGGCAGAACAGCTCTTTGTTTGGGGACTTCAGTGCTGGAGAACCTAGGCTTCTCTCCAAAGAAGGAGATGGAGACTGTTTCAGGCGAATATATAGGGTATTCAAAGATATTTAACAAACAGGGTTATGGTACCTGGATTTTGGCCATGCTCTGAGGTAATACATTTGCATCAGCTATGCAGTACATGAACTGGGCATGAGGCTGTTTGGGACAGAGAGAGATACCTTTTAATGACCTTCTTTACAATACATTAGGAACTTAAGTTAATGTGTGTACAATGCCTTGAAGATTTAAAGACCTAAGAAGAGAGAGTGTGATGGAGGCTTCGTGGTCAGTGGTGTGAGCACAGGAAGATTAGCTAGGAATTTCTAATCTCTAATCCACATATCTGATACCGATTCCATCTGTGGCCATGAGCATGTCCTTTAATCTCATTTGTACAATGGGGATAATACCTACACAGGGACACTGGAAGACTTAATAAGGTGGTATTTGTAGAGTAAATAGACACCCTCTGAAGGTGAAAAGCACTATTTAAGTGCTGAAGATTAACAGCTCCTGAAGTTTTAATGTCTATAATGGTGCAGCAACACACAGTGTTACAGAAAAGGAGCTCAATGCCAACTTTTAACAAATGTTTATTCTTGCAACACATGTTAAACAAATACCAAAAACTAATGTAACAATCTTTTTCAAAAGCAGCAACTGAAAATGAATTTATGTTTAGCAGCTTGGCTCACTAGATTTTGGGCTTGTGATTCCTACTCAAACTTTACATTCCACATTCCTCAATAGGAAACATTGTCTCATCCTCAACCAAACAGCTTTGTGAGCTGCAAGTCCCAGATCTCTTTGTGAGACTTGTGTTGTGTTGTACATTAGTGCTGCGTTCCTCTTCGGAAGGAAAGTTCACAAGTGGTACTGATTCATTAACAGTGGAGGTGTTAGTTCGCGTGGCTGAACTTTTCCTCATAGCGTCCGACCCCTCTGTAGCCAAGGTTGGACCTGGCAAACAATCTGCATTTCCTGTTTTTGAGCTTTTTTCTCTGCTCTTCCAAGGCACAGACAGGTGGCCTTTGTAAAAGTTCCAAACCAGCAAGGAAGAAAAAAGGAGTGCAAATCCAGCTCCCAAGAATTTTAAAATAAGCTTCTCTTTTTGGTCTTCCAGGGATTTTTGTTTTGCTGGGTCATTCAGCAAGGAAGAGGATACCAAAGATTTAACCTTCAGAGTTGTGTCTGCATTTGGTTGATTTGTGGTGTAATTCTTAGTAATAATGAAAACGCTGTCCTGTTGGGTAGAAAGAACGTAGCTAGCCACAGTAACAGGGAATTCTTTCCCATTAGCGCTCTCTACAGAATGACAGTCATAAAATCCAGCATCAGCCACTGTCACATTAAATATGACTATTCCTCCATCATAAAGCAGGTATTTAGAATCTTCTGCCTGAAGACTGCTCCCATTAAACTTCCACACCATCCTAGCCAGGTTGGACATGGGCGCGCATTTAAGATGAACACTGTTGCCAATGCTAACGGGACAGTTTTCGACATTATTTCCTGAAATTGTGAAGGGTGGTTTAATTAAAAACAATGAAGCCTTAATTTAACCTGCCTGGCCACATTTATGTTCAAAGAAACATCACGATTAATTAAGGAACATGACACAAAGGACAGTGAGTGTTTTAAGGTGCGTGAGTAAACTAGAGAAATCGACAGATTTAACTGTCTCCTCCCATCTGCTAAAAGGGCATGATAGCACAGATTGGTTCTAGCTGGCCTTATTCCCAGTGATATCTAACAGTCTGAATATGGGCTGGAATTCAGGGACTTGAGTTTAAATTCTCACTTTGCCACAGACTAACACAGTATGTAGCCTTGAGTAAATCTCTTCACCTTTCTGTGCCTCAATTTCTACACCCAAGTTGCACACTTGCTGTTCTATCCTCACAAAGCAGTTGTGAGGATTAGATATTGCTTGGACAGGGCTTTGAGGATACAAATGCTTTCGACTTTACCACATTACACTGATGACCTATAATCTGCAATAGCTGCCCCTTAGTTTTCAGTGCAGTTTAAGATTAATGTCCCTAATCCTGCAAACATTTAAAAATTAAAAACTTTTAAAAAATTAATCACAAATTCATATTTTAAAATTTCTCTCTCTGAACCAGCAGTTTTTTTTAAAATAGCCGACTATCTGAGTTGTATTTCTGCAGAGCAATACCAAGTGTCAGTCACAGTAACAGAGTTAACAGGACTTCTTATGTCCCACGTGACTTCTGTAGCATGGGGGGAAACATACCAACAGCCTCAAAAGTCATGGCTCACGTTTTCTACTTTTCATGAGATTAGTGGTTTCAGTCTGAACTAGAATATCCTGACCCCAAGTTCAAAACCGTTAAGAACAAACAAGCCAAATCAGCTCAGTGTTTTCTTGTCAAGAATCAATATCATTTTTACCCCTGGGTTGTATTTTAATTTAGCTAAAATATCAGGCATTTCAATGACCACAGATATATGACCCACATGATAGAATTATTTTCATTTTGTACTATATTTCAACAATATTTTATTAAAGATAAATGTTCACGTACCTATTTTAGGACATTTGGAAGCATCACCATTTTTAACACTCTGAATTAAATCCCTAGAGGAAGAGAGAGATGAATAAAAGAAATACACCATGAAGGCATGTAAAAATGTTCAAACTTTTAGGATATTAGCTATAGAATGCATCCTGGTTTTGTTACATTTTACTGACTTGTAGAACTGAATTTAAAAAGCAAGATAAATATCAGCTCAGGTATGGACCTCAAGCAATATCTTTTTACTTACTGCAAGTCTCCTGTTTGATTAGCCACTGGAGCACACTTCTCAAAAGACTCAGACCACGCACAATAAGGATCCCTTGCCAAAACACAATCCAAGCAGTGTTTATATCGGCTGCATACTGAAACGGGGAGTTGTACCACTTGGGATGGAGACCCGACATAGAGCAGGCCCTAGAAATGCATCATTGAGCTGTTATTTTATAGCACTGTGAGAGTTTTTAAACTTTATGGCATCCAGACAGCAACTTCTGTGATCTGACAAGAAATCAACTATATTCTTTGAAATAACAGATTACTAATGAAAGAGCATGAGAATATACACAGTGCTTTGCAGAACATATGAAAAGACAAGATTCCTGGCCTGAAGAGATTACAGTCTTCATGAAAACTTTGGGAATTGCTTTTGACTAAAAGTGATATAAATTGCCAAATGTGTGTTTGAAAGTTTGTTTCAGTTATATTAAAATGCAAAAGAAATCTACTTCTACAGATAAAATCTCATATATGCTTTTATTATTAATCAGTGTGATGCTAGAAAAGAGTATGTAGTATATACATAACATCGAAAATCCAGATGCACAGTGTAAAAAGAGGAAGGCCTGAAGCATACCATTATACTAATCCCTTTGCATATGCAGAGATAGAGGATCTACCTTTTTGGAAGACAGTTTAAGAGATTGTACAGGCTCTGGGGACTGAAACAGCTGTATCTCCTCAATAATGAACATTTCCCCGTCGCAGTTGAGAGCTTTATGCAAATATCCATTATCTGCATAAAATGAAATGTATTTTTAAAGAGAAACATGTTCAAACATAACATAACAGCATTTTCACTTCAGTTTTAAAATTCATCAGCCTTTTCTAGAGATTCAGAAAATGAATCTTGAGGACAGGAAATTTCCTAAATGTTCCACAGCAATATTTTCTCCATTCACTTTCTGGTAAGTAAGAAGTAATGATTTTTTTAAGCAATGGAGAAGTCCCTGATTTTGGAAGATTTCCCCACATTGAGGCTCTTCTGATATGGAAGATTTCCAAACAGATCCTCAATGTCCAACAAAACAAACACACACTTTACCTAGAAGCTGGGCTGGAAATTCCAAACTGGCAAGTCAGCTTCTGCTTCCTTGCTCTTGTACAAAGATTTTAACCTTTCCTTCAAGAAATTCATGGCTTTTGGTAATAGTCTTGACCAGAAGTCCCTTCATCCTGTGCAAGATTCACCCATGTGCAGAGAGCCAGCGGGATCTATGCACCACTTATGTCACAGGTAAGGCCCATTTTGCTAGGGAAAGCCAGCTGGGGACATTTCCATGACAAATTTTTTGAAAGCCTTGGTATATTTTTAAGTGCCACTATTCTATATTAAAAGTGTTTAAGTAAAAAATAGCTATCATTGCAGACCTCTTGACCAAAAGAAAACAGTGAGGCTACAAAGAAAATTATTATTCTGAATAAAACTAATGATAACATAAGGTTATGAACTATATCTACACAAGCTTTAAAAAAGAAAGAAACAGACAATAAAACACCATTCATCAAACATTACACTAAGGCCTGCTCTACACTCAAAATTTACATCTATCTAACTGCAAACGCAATGGCTTCAATTCAGCAAAGCTCCACCCAAGTCCCACTGATTCAAGCATTAAGAGTTTTACTGAAGGAGGGCCCATAAGATGAAATTTGTCCTCACACAATACACAGTATCTTACACTGGGGAAATAAAGCAGTTCAGCTAGAAACATAACTTGGAGGAAAAAGGAAACTGAAGGCCCATTATATAAAACCCCCTGCCTGGTTGCTGTCTGATACATTATAAAGTGGTAAATTACGACAAAGGATTTTTGGTGCATTATTAGGAGTCAGTAGGAGCCTTTTTGAAAGCTCAGAAAAAAATTCTAAAACGAACTCTTCCATAATAAATCTCCCCCCCCCACCAAAATAAAACCACTTACCTGTTCCTATAAACAGAACATCATATGTTTTTTTATCTAGGCCAGTGATTCTGTCTACTACAATCGTGGTGTAATTTGAACCTCTTTTCAGTAGCACTGGCCTATCACCAATTGGATTTACAGCATTATCCATTAAAGGGTGGTCTCTAACAAACTGCAGAATTTTATCAGGCAAATCAAGAGAAGTGTTGTATCCAATACTCCGGGCAAAATTATCAATGCACTAGAAACAATGTACAACAAACATAATTACAACCATTTTTATATTCCACCAATTTACAGACAATTGTTACTATGTACTAAACTTTTAGCTATTTCTACCCAACTTCCACAATGGGAATCCATCATTCACTATGCATGAAATTCACCCGGGTGCTGAAGACCTGTGTAAGGATAGTCGCACCCCCTAACCCCTGTGGTAGAGTTGAGCAGGAGGAGTGCCTACTCAGGGGGCCTCCACACACACACACAGACCTGGGATGGGGGAAAGATGTCTCTGTGCTGGCCATGGAACTGCATCTACACTGGCAAAATTTGGACTAGTAATTCTCTAGCAGAAAAAAAAATTAAGAGAATGTTTTCTTTAGAAGAGAATAAATGAGTATTTACAGCACCGGGACGTGGGAGTGGCACTTCTCCCCTGAACACCATCCATTTAACATGGGAATGTTCCACAGTCACTGGCCCTTTATAGTTTCCTTTGGCGAAGACTTCTTGGACAGTTTTCATACTGAATGCACAAACGGCAGAAATATCCAACCTTCCCCTTGGAGGTGAAAAAGAAGCAAGAGAAAATGTGAGTGAGTTATTTTGCCCTTTATGCAGAAGGGAAGGCTGTAAAAACAACTTGCTTTTCACAGGGCATGTTGCTATTTGCTCTTTAGGGTTAGTGAATATGTGTACATAAATACACATCTAAGAAGCGTCAATCACGGATATTGTGATTTACTGAGAAAGGCTTAGGAAAAAGAGACACTGTGTAAAGGATTTTATTTAAAATATATATTTTGTTAAAAATCAAGTAATATCCTCCAAATTAATAAAAACAGCCTAGGAGATGTACACCTTAAGACTAGTTCTTTACGCTTCATTGATAAATTAGGTGACAGCAAGCAGACAGATCTAAGCATCGTGGTTAGTCTCACTTTCTGCTCTCCACTTTTTATATATAATTCTCTCCTCCCCAAACCCCACTATTTCATCCTGTTATAAAGTATGTCTTTTCCCTTTGCATCCAGTCTTAAATATTTTTCAAAATTAAATCTGAAATGTTAAATGGATTACAGGTGAACTGGGGGCTTGGGTCAGGTTCTCGCCTCAGTAACAGTAGTTAAGTCCAATGAGACTCCAGATACTTGAGTTACACTGGATTTACACTGCTGCAACTGAAAGCAGAATGTGGCCTCCTCTCTAACCCATGCTCATAGCTATACTGGCCCTTGAGAAAGCAGACTAGGTACATAGGGAGAGTCCTCTCATTTGAAGTCCATGACGCTGAAGTGACTGTTTCCACAATCAGAATATGAAATTTAAGAGGAGACCTTGCAGAATCCCACTAACGCATATTGTGGCCCAAAATCGGTGGTGATGTGAATGGTGGTGTAAATTATACAGTATGCATAAACTGATACAGCGGCAAAGTAATGCAACTTCCATGGATCTAGATATCAATCTCAGGGTTCTGATGCCTTTACAAACCACCAAAGCTACCTTTTCACGATTACTTTGCAGTGGTACCCTTTGACATACACAATTCTGCTGCTGGTACATTTAGTCTGTGCCTCTTTATATTATATTATACACACACACACACACAGTGAGATCAAATTCATCAGCTGTAAAAACATAGCTTGGAGTCCTGTTTTTATTTTCAGAAAGTACTAGATTAGACAAGTGGGCTTTGACAGATGCTGCATTTGGAAGAAGGGTACTTCAACTTGCAATGGTTTCCTCTCATGAGGGTACTGCTTATCCTGCATCTTGGAAGCCAGCTGTTTCATTTGGTAGAGGAAGCAACACAGGAAGAAGTCAGGGTTTTGGTCTAAGTGATAAACAATGTCAATTTAAGTTTAGTTAGTTTTAATTTTTCCACCAGCCTGACGGAGCATGCATAACTCAAGTGTCTGGACTGGCAAAGCTCTTGGCTAGTCTTCAACTAAAAGCTTTAGCCCAGAGATTGAAAACACCTAGCTTCAGCAAATGGCAGTGTTGGCTCAGTCAGATCAAACTGAACAAGTCAGTTCCATTCAAATATGTGGAATAAATAGGGTGACCAGATAGCAAGTGTGAAAAATCGGGACGGGGTGGGAGGTAATAGGAGCCCATATTAAAAAAAAGCCCCAAATATCGGGACTGTCCCTATAAAATTGGGACATCTGGTCACTTTAGGAATAAACGATCAATTCTTATTCTGAGTCCCCGACAAATGGCTGCAATCAGGCCATTAACAGGAAAGTGAGAGCTCACTACTGAATTCTGAGATTAATCTGCATTCATTAGAGACAAGTTACCATTGGAGGGAAGGCAGTGAACATATAGACCCTGGAATGGCTACTTCACCAGCTGGAAGCGATAGATATAAACCTAGGACATAAATAACTAGGACGGACTAAATAGCTACATGCATGAGTTCCATTATAAAAGGATTACATTATTTGTAGTATTACAGTATTGTCTACTCTAGAAGGCTCAACCAAGATCAGGGCTGCACTGTGCTACGCACGGTACAAACACATAGTGAAAGACAACCCCTACCCCAAAGAGTTTACAGTCTATGTGAAGGGTTCACAACTAATCCAAATTCACATAAGCTTGGTTGTAACAAGAGACAGAAGCTCTACAACAGAGGATGGATTTGAATTCATTGTTGATTCTGGTGATAATAGCAACCTTCAGGTACTTTCATAATCTGTTTATTAATATAATTTCCTCATATAATAAAAACAAAAAGAGAAAATGATGCAGAGAGAAGATTATATCTTCAGTGAAATCAATTTCCAAATGAAGTTTGACTTGATAGGGGACGGAGGAGAAAAACATAAACAAACAGATTTAGCTTTTATGATGCAAATAACTAAACAATGCACCTCAAAACCACAGGAAAAAAAATTATTTACCTTTACAGTAACTGGAGTTCTTTGAGATGTGTTGTCCATGTATATTCCACTCTCGATGTGCACATGCCCCATGTGCTCAAGATCGGAGCCTTTTGGCCACAAGTGTCTGTTGGAGCCATACATGGGGAAGGCATAAAGAGTGAAACGGACCCAACTGCCATTCATTTCCATCGCCATAGCAGAATCCAGGTGTTATAGCATTCCCCAATAGTGGGGAAGGAAGGCAGGTTGTGGAGTATATATGGGGACACCACATCTTTAAAAACTCCAGTTACTGTAAAGGTAAGTAACTTTTCTCTCGTCTCTGAGTGTTTGTCCATATATATTCTACTCTTGGTGACTCCGAAACAGTGACCTGACATAAGGAGGCAGGTGCTTGAAGTCTACTTGGACAAAGATTGCAGGACAGCTCTACCAAAAGAAGCATCAGATCTTGATGCTTCCTCTATGTTGAATTGCTGCCTTGCATGAGAGGCAATACTTAAAATCGAATGACTCAGAATGGGACATCTCCAAGCCACAGTACCAAGAAGATGAGGAAATGAAACAGCAAATAAGGCAGATAAAAACTCCTTAAACTACCCAAAGTTTTCCAACAGGCAACTATATAGACAATTAAGTAAAGATTGGGAAAAAGCGATGCATCAAGACATGGACACTGGGGAGCTCTCTCTCCCAGCGATGGGCAATGAGAAGGAACTGAATGGTGGTTGGGCCATCTCTGACCTTTATACTCTCATTATGTGAGCATGAAGACACTCATAGCACATGCACAACTGCAAGAAGAGACTGCTGGCCAAAAGACACTGACCTAGAGTGCATGGGGGCGCGTGAGCACTAAGAGTGGAATATTTATAGACAAGCACTCGAAGAAGAACTTTTCTATAGAACGAATCACAATAGAAAAGCTTTGCTTAGGGGCTGAAACTAATGCAGCAGCAATTCATGTACCAGAAAGCTTTTACATTTAGGTTTACAAAATATCTGAAAACAATTCAGATACACCCAACCTCTGCTTTGAAAAACTATTTCAAAATGTTAGTAATAGATGCATTTCTTGTATCTTACCATTGTTGAGTAAAAATTCCATAAAACATGCTTTCCCGCCAGTCTGCTCTCTTAAGTAAAAAGACATCCTGAACAATATTAAACTGGAAATTTGATTCTGGAACGGAACAGATAAGTCTGGATTTTAAAAATGACGTCCATCTTTTTTGCAATATGCGTTTTCCACCAAGATCACCCTGTATGAAGGGAAAGTGTCATCACTTTAGAGTTTACAAAGCAGGCTGATTTCACTCACATAAACAGACTTGGTAGCACTGTCACACAAGGGCTTGTTCAGTCTTCCTATACGAATCAGAATTTTCAAAGCCAAGAGATTTGAATGTCATGGGGGTTCTGAAGAGTCTGGAAGGAGGAGGAAGTGAGTTCAATTATAGAAGCCTGGCAGCAGAATTTTAATTGGTAAGATGGACAATGCAGATGGAACCATGTTTGCTCATTCTGCTATGAAGCTTTATCTAAACTACTTACATACTTTAAACAAAATTACTATACTACAAATACTAACTTTGCAGACACGAGCAATTCTTGACACCAGGAGTTTGTCATAGAATTCAAATTCAACAGCTGTTTCAGTGAAGAACACATAAATTTTATCATCATCTCCATCTGGATTAGATTCACTTTCCCGCACTATATCCATATAGACAAAGCTGGGCTCTGGAATATATAAACACACATAATGCAACAGTTCTCTAATGTAGAGAACTTAAGGCAATGAAATACCATACATATCAAAAGTTGTTGTTTTTTAAACTGTAGTAAAATAATGTTTTCTTAGAACAGTGGGCAAGGAAAGGACTGGAAAGAGCTTATGAGTTAGTATACAATTTAAAAAAAAAATCTATCAAAGGGTTAAAAATATGTTTGCATAAGTGAAAATGGACTACTGATTGCCTCTTCACCTTAGTCCTTAATTATAAGCTCACTTTTATCTTTAGTCCTCAATTTAGGAGCTTGCTTTTTCTGGACACAGCAAAATCAATGCATATTAATTTCAGACAGTTAGAGGTACACTGATGCCTATATTAACCTTTTGCAGGAGATGAAATTTATTACCACCAATGCTAAATGAGAACCTTTTACATTTCCTAAAGTAAAGGTTTATGGATGAGTTTAATGCTCATCTATCTCCCTTCCAATTTTATGCAGAATAAGGTTTGTATGGAGAGAGGAACAATTTTATGGACAATAAAGGGGCCTAAAGAAATAAAAAAGCAACACTCCACAAAAGTGAGCACGCCTAGAATAGGTTTTGTGTTTACAGACCCTGCAATACAGACATGCAAGATGAAGTAAGTTAAAGATGGGAGTGACGGACTTAATTCTGAAAAAACTAGGAAATTCAAAGTCAACATCTGATTTTTTTAGCAGTTTATTTGCCTTTGAGTTTAGGACCTGTATAAAAGTTGATATAATAAACTATAGCAATTCCTACAAAGATGCCTTAAGATCCATGGTGTTTATTAATAACAGGACTAGAGAAATATTGAAATACATTACTGATGCTTGTCTATTTGCATTTTGTTAGCCTATCCTATATTAATTAGTGGAATCTAGCATGCCATGGAAGGTGGTTAGAAAAAAGCTGCACCAACCAGTTTTTGCTTGGCACACTATTCACAGTGTGAAGCACTTGTTACTGTGTATAAGATATACATTTTATTTGAAATACAGACACACAAAATCTGTTTTGCTAAATCTACTGCTGCCTGTGCTTATCAAAGAGGGTTGTTAGTTACAATACTGACAGAACTGGGATGAGATCCTAAACCAGCCTCTGCTTTATTGTGATACTTATTCAGTAACCAACAAATGTTAAAGGTGTTAACATATTAAAAAGTTTCATAATAAAATAAAATTCAACTGAATTTTAAACCAGTATCGAGAAAGACTGAAAATAATTATGATCTAACATTTGGCTCCCATGCTTCCAGAGTCATAAACTATGTCACTTTTCTGCAGGCATCTTAAAAATGGCAGCTGCCTTTAAAAACAAACAGGGACATGTAATCTAAATCTTTATATATGGCAAGGGGGAGTACCCCACATTAGACTTTCAGAACTCTACACTGGGAAGAAAAATGGGTGCAGTTCTTAATTTTGTGTTAAAAAAATCAAGCAAGATGGAATATTTGCCCTGCAGGGGCTAAAATATGTATAAAAACATCTTACCATTTAGCCAAGATGCTTTAAACTCTGTCCTTAGATGGTTTCTCAAACTGCGAAGTATAATAGGCTCAGTGCCCAAGAAGTTGTTTGAAGTGGCTGAATAAAATGCACTATCTGTGAAGAGTTTAAAGAAATAAAAGTGCAAAAAATATTTTTTCTTACAATGCAAAGGAACGGTCATAAGTTATATGTATTTATCACATGCAAATATTTATAGCAAAAGTAACTGGAGGAGCAGCTACAGCTATGATTTTACCTGCTGAAAAGTCTAGGCTGCTGGTCTTGCAAGGTGTTGAGCACCCTCAGTTCCTACAGAATTGATTAGGAGTTGAGTCCACGCAGCACCAGGCAGAGTTAGGTCCGTAAGATTGTAAGATACTGGGGCAGAAAGGTATTTTGTTTTGTTGGCTTTGTAGACATTTGTCTAAAATGAATCAAGGCTCAACTAGCTGGAAGTTACATGATGCTTGTAACTGAAGATCTCTGAATGTGAAACTTTTATACATTGATATTGTTCAGAGTATCTATAGGCCCCTAGAGTGGACCTTAAGAAGAGTTAACAGAAAACGTGAAGAACATTGCTGTGTGAGCTCTATAGTTATCCTCATCACCATTTATAATGAATCATGGTGAACTATGTACACCAGACATCAGGCTTGCTTGGCAGCTTGTTTTCTTAAGAAACAGCCAAGTATCCCCAAAACCTACCAAGTACAAATCTGTTTTATCATTATTCGAAGGTCACCTCTTTTTAAGCAACTTTATGCCAGTCCCTTGAGCAGTCTCTTCAAAATAGATTTCACTCTGTATTTGTGCATAGGTCCAAAATGAGTTGACATGGAGAGGACGCAACATGAATTTAAAGTTCCAGTAAGATCAAAGGATAAATATAAGAATATAGTTTAATAGGCAAAGGACAAAACATACAATGAATGTTTGAAAGCCAACAATTGCTAGGTGGACTCTCAGAGAAGTGACCCAGACAACCACTCTGGTAATCTCAAATGTTGCTAAGGGACATTGAATAAGGTTTCAAGGGTAGTTTTTGCACAAGAAAGAAAATCTTTTCCATGTGGCTTTCTAGTAATTACATCTGAAAGATTTCACAGTGCCTGTGCGACCTTCAAACATCTGAAACCTAAGAAATTCAGGAGTAAGCAGTTAGATTCAAGGATATCAGATATGGTTGCAAGAGTCATACTAAGGAAATCATTAGCAATTAATCTTTCTGAAAAAATCCCTATCAATGAGCCAGCAGAGGCCAAAAAGGAGATACATATATCAATGCACTAAAAACTGCTCCATTTAGTTTTTCATATAATAGTTTCATCTGTGTTCTCTTCCAACTTTTAAACAACAGATCAGAGGTTAACACTTCATGAACATGCAGAGACATCAAATTAGAATTATAGTAGTTGACATCTGATTAGCAGTGAAAAATGATTTAGTCTTACACGGAATTCCCAAAACATACCAACTAACAGAGAAGCATACTTCAGAGTAGGTTCAAAAGGACATCTTCCTCTGCTTTCTTCAGCTTTCCCTTGCAGATGAATATCTGTACTGTTGATGACCTGTTGTAAACAATCATTCTATCAGGCTGAAAGCAAGACTCACATCTGATAAAATAAAATGATTAACAATTTATTTTAAAAGAGAATAATCATGGAGTGAATATGGAAATGTGAGTATTTGTACAAATAGAAATGTATTCAGTCTATTTTTTCTGGGCTTCTTTGTTTTTAATTAACTACTATGAAAACTCCTCTTTCAATTAATTGACCACTGTCAAAATACCCTGCCGAGAGTCACAGTTTAACTCTGCTGAGATTATGTAGAGGGTAAGAAACCAAGTAAATACATTTTGGTTTGGAAAATGTATTTCTTTTTAGAATGCATGCTCTTCTATTGGGAGTAACAATGCAAATTCCCTAAATACTGATGAGCAAATTTAAAATCTGGTACAAGTGCCACTACAGCGAAGCCCTCAGACTTTATAAGTCGCCTGCTATGTGAGAAAGTAAGTTCAAATAAAAAGCTAGGCTCTTATAGGTGCATTTGGTGAAAATACAGCATTCATCTGATTTGCAACCTACTGTCAGCATTTATGAATTATTATTTATATAGCCTCAACGGTGTTCCTGGCACTCAACTGAAATGTAATCCTGTTTTAACTTTTATTTTTAAACAAAATTTGTTCAAAGCAAAACAAGACTAGATGAACAAAGGAAAGAACTAAGAATAGTGAAATATACATACAGTAAGTAAGCATGAAAAGCATTCATAAATATATGCACAGAGATAAGGCAACAAAATAAGAAACGACAATGACTGTTTCCAGAAATAAAACTTGCTAGCAAAAGATGGAAAATTCAGAAGTCATAATGCAAGCACTTAATGCTGCTGCTAAATTTGTTTCATTATGACCAATCATACATTAAAAATAATTAATTTTTAAAATTAAAAATAATTAAAATAAAATAATTAATACTAATTTTCCATAGGAACATTACTTGGAAAGGTGCTTAAAGATCTACCATACTATTCAAACAATTATATGCACACACAGTAAAGGGTGTATTTAAGTATATAAAATGCTTACCATGTAATCACAAGCTGGGTAAAATGCATTGGTTCCACAAACATATAAGTTAGTGTCATTTATCTTGTGAAGGAGGAGGATGTAGTTTCGGCAATCTACCTGAAACAGAAAAAATAATAGTAAATTTTCATACCTTAGGGGCGAGAGCATGAAGGCTTTCAGGTGCCTTCACAAAAAGCAAGCAAGACCTTAAAACACAGAGAATGTGTCCAAATACACTGGACTCAAGCTCAACAGATAAATTAAAGAGTAACACAAATTTTAATACTCAACAATTTTCAATATCACATCTTAAAAGTATGTTTACAGAAATTACTAATCACGTATATAGTTGTGCAAAGCCCAGACCCAGAAAAGCACTTTAAGAACATGCTTACCTTTAAGCATGTAAGTAGTCCCAATTGATTTCAGTGTTACTGCCCATATGCAAAAGTGCTTTGCAGGATCAGGGCTTAAATATGCATAGCACTATATAGATAGAGGGTAGTGCCAAACAGACAACAGTTTGAAAATAAATGCAAGACCAAATGCATGCAGTGTGGGGTGTGTCAGAAGTGTAGTCACTGTAAAAGAATAGAAGTTTCAAAACCAGATTCCTATATACTTGCTTATTGTTTTTAAAAAGCTATTCAATATGGTAACTTATTTAATAACTAGGTCGTGAAAACAAACACTTTACCTACTTTGTCCTTTCCTCTGCGAATGCATTCCAATTGTCTATCCCTTGTTGCGAACCAGTCCTCCTGGAACCCAAAAAAGATCCCATATTTAGCACACTGTGATTTTTGGTCTAAAATTCTAAATGTAAAATCAAAACCAAAATAAATCTACATTTTGGTTTAAAGAGCAAACCCAACTGCCCCCTTCATGGAGATTCCCCTAGCAGTGGTGCTGGTGTGATGCCACTGAATCAGGAGAGGGGGCTAGATTTAGGAGTTACCCCAGGGGTAAGTGCCCCCAGAAGAACACAGACCCCATGTAAGCAGGGGCTTTCTGATTGGGCTGGGCAATGAGTTCCTGGATTTGGCCTTTACGGAAGGTCTTTGGGTTGTCACATGGGACACAAGATGCTAAAAGCACATTTTGAAAATGAATTACATCCAATGACATCACTAGAATACTGTAGTGGATGTCACAAAGCGCAGGCAGTTTCCCCTGTAGACCCCGCAACATGCTCAGCCACACCCAAATCCTGTAGGTTGTTCTGTGTGAGCAAACGCCTCACTTTCATTGGGGTTTTGCACAGGCATGTAGAATTCACCCACATGGAACAGTTTACAAGATGAGAGCCCCAGTTTATACAGAAACCCCACAGAACACACAACTTCCTCATCAGAAGGCATGTCTTTCAAATCGGATCTGAATTTATAAGCCTCATAATATCTTGGTGTCCTTTCACTTCTATTCTTGTAAATTGTTTACATAAAAAAATGCCATATCACAAAACAGGTTTCATGAGAGAGGAACCTAAAAGAATCATTAAACCCGCTTCACTTGAATGAGAGTTGTGGGTACGCAGCACCTTAAAAATTAAACTATTACAATCTAAAAGGCACAAATCAGTATGATACAGAGCTGCACAACAGAAAAAATAATACAATGCTATCCAACAGAGCTAACTCTGAGTGGCTGCAGACTTTATAGATTTGTATCTTTCATGGCACAGCTGTGTCTTCAGTTTTAAAAACAGGAATTACAAAGAGATAGGTAGGCAATGACTGATGCATATTACCACCTTGAACAGTGGTATCTATTTACCTTGGATTTATGAAAATATTTCAACAAAAATAATAATCGTGTTGTGTCATTTAGGTCATTGTTCCACATGAGGGCATTGGTGGGTTGAGATGCAATCTACAGAGGTTTTAAGTGGTAGTTACTGTGCTGCTAACAGCACCCCTGAGGTTTTCTAACCCATAGCCAGTTGTAATTCCCCAGATCATAGGAGTGAACATCTATCTCATACTAACAGTTGCAAGACATTGCTTTGTTGTCTTTAAAGATCTGAAAATTAAATTTCAGAAAAAATACAGCCATAAGCAAGACAGGTTTTTTAAAAAGGGATAAATAGTTGTTCAGCTTACACTGGCTATTTCTCTTGAGATGTCATTCAAGTCAAGTGCAAATATAGCATCTCTGGCTCCAACAAATAAGATATCAGTTTCTTCACTCACCAAGAGTGTGGAAAAATTGGATAATCCTGGTTTCATAAAAGTTTTTATATTTCCATCTAAAAACATACAAGTTATAAAGTTATTTTAAAAATTATTTGCTGCTAAAATACCATTGCCATGAAACAAAAATACCAGACTGAAAAACGGATAGCAGTGAGACAAAGGCTTATATTTTATTCACATTTTCCAGGATCGTGTTTTAAATCATTTTCATTATATAGAGATATTTTATTTCCACTGTTATATAGAAACATAACCAACACAAAATCATTATTAACTGGACACCAAAGTCTCCAGCCACGAGATTTAATGTTAGGGTAAATCACAGCAGAACGTGCATACAAGAATCTGGGGGAGAAAGAGTGACCAATGGTGTTGAAAACTGTGTTGTCTTCAAGATTATCACAAAGGGTTCTTTGCATGAAAAGCGAAACTCTTCTACCTGTTAGATCTCACAAGTTAAGTAGATTTGGAATGTGTCAGTACTTGGATGGGGAAATGCTAAGGGATGACAAAAGATGGGTTGGTTATGCAGTAGGTGGCATTCTTTTCTCTGAGCCTTTACTGAAAATCAATGCCTCAACTTGGTGTTAGGTGACACTGTGTTATTGAAAGTACCATCTTTCAGATGACACATAAAGCCTAACATGTGAAAACATCTTGTGGGGATTAAAGATATCATAGCATTCAAGAGACTGGAGTTCATAATACTAGTATCTTGGTCCTGGTCAAAAGCTAACTGAAAATAAAGTAATTGTTGTTTCAGTCAGTTTAGCTGGCAATTCTTACATCCCTACCACACAGAGGGAACCCTACTACTCTTCAGCATGTATCTTTAACACAAGAGTTTTATCACACTTACTTTGGTATGTTACTGTTTTTCTGGGAATGCAGCTCAGGACAGAGGCTTCCATCTGTTGCATTAATCCATAAACAAGATAGAGACAGAGGACAGCGGTGGTGCCACTCATTTTCAGAAATCCAGTTAGAATATAATCTATCTAGTTTTAATTCCTTGAAATTTGAATATTTACAGTCAGCATTTTCTGTATGGTTCTTGAAAATATCTTGTTAGGAGGTCTCAGATGTAAATATCTGTAGTTTTTAACATTTTATGAAGCTTCTGCAAATCAAAACAGCCTTTTAAATTGTTCTATTTGCAAATAAACTTTTTCACAAACATCCAATAGACATACCTTAAAATTAAAAGCAGTTTAAGATCAATTCAACTGATTACCTTCGACTGATTAAACAAAGATCAATTACCTTAGCGTTCATAACAAAAATGCATTCTGCACTCTTAAAAGGCTTTTTTCGTTTGTATTTTACAGCTACCTTGTACATCGGTAGCCATTCCTACCTGACACTAGTCAACCTTTGTCTGTATGGATGAATGTTTTGATCAGATCTACTGCATCCTGCAATAAGTAGGCACAACAGAGGTAACGTAACAATGTGCGCAGCTTTCGTTTAGATTATTTTTGCTTTTGTGTGTTTCTGTCTCAGCTGTGTTTCAGGTCTTTGTTCCACAGCGGTAGACTTTATCTGAATCCATGGTCTCCTTTTGGGAGAGAAAGGATCTGAAATATGTTCTTTGTGCAATTGTACCAAAGTGAACGGAAAGGCGTGTGGGTAGGTGGGAGGCAGGGCCGGCATTAGATTGCTGGCGCCCAGGCCAGAAACTAAGGAGTCCAAGCCCGAACCCCGCCACCCGGGGCTCAAACCAAAGCTTGATCATCTAACCCTGGCAACTGCCCCACTTTCTGCCCCCTAATGCCACCCCTGGTAGGAGGGCATCACTGGACAGAGCTCAAAAGCCTATGTTGTGTGAAGTCCACAAGGTCTCAGTTACTCAGTAGAAGTTATAACAAACGATCCCAGCCTCCAGTTCCTTCTCCCACCCATTTACTCCTTCCCCAGGCTGCACCCGAAAGGGGCTCTGGGCTGTGGGCATGACGCTCGCCCGCAGGATGGGGGCATCTCCAAAGCAGTTTTCCCCTCGCAGGAGAAAGGAAGGCCAGGGCACGCTGGCCTTCCAGCGGCCAGGACACTGCCTGGTGCGTGTGGGGCCTTCGCCATCACCCAGCTCCCCCAATCCAACCCCTTCTACGGCTCCTGGGGGGGGGGAGGGCGCTGGTAGACGGTAATGGAGCCTCAGGGACTCGCAAATACACTGCGAAGCAGGTCCCAATGGAGCCTGCTAGACCCCTCAATCCCCCTGACACCCCCCCTCAATCCCCCTGATACCCCCCTCAATCCCCCAAGAACCTCCACAGCCCCACCCCTCCCTACAGGAAACCAGGGCCACCCCCCATCTCACATCCTGACCCCCCCCTCCAAGCTCCCCTTCCAACCCTGAGGGAACCCCCTCAGCCAGCCCCACCTCACTCCAGCCCTGGAGCAACCCCCGCCCCCCAACTGCCGCATTACCCGGGAGGAGACGGTTGGGCCCCCCCACACACACACGCGCCCCGGCGGCCCAGATTCCCGCGGCGCCCTGCCCTGGGCGCCACAACCCCGCTCCCAGCCCCACTCCCCTCGACACGGGGCCCCCTGCCCCGCCCTGCCCCACTCGCCCTAGCCCAGCCCCCTGATTGCACCCCCCTTCCCGCCCGCAGCGGCGGCTCCCCGGCCCCGCACACGGCGACCCCAAGCCGCTCGGAGCGCGGGAAAGGGCCAGTCATTTCCGTTCGCCTCCGCCAAAAGCAAGATCAAGGCACCCGCTGCACGTGTCGGGGGAGCGGATGGAAGGGTTGGCCGTCTGGCGCCTGGAGTTTGCCTCCTCCTATTGCCCTGAAAGCCGAACCCGCCCGCCCCCGAGGGCTCGCTGGTGGTGCGGTAAAGGCCAAGGAGATATGTTGTCAAATATTAATTTGCAAAAAATAACATCAAGGAGCATCATCAAGGAGGTTAACATTTCAGATTCACTTTTTTGGGGGGGGGGCTTGCTGGCTGCAACTGCCACATTTAGGGCACCTGCACGTTTCAAAAGTGTTTCAGCTACAATTTTTGCTTTTAGTCTGCACTTTTAAATGGGTGACCCTACCAAACTGAGCAGTGCTGAAGCATTGTAGGGAGGGGAGGGAGGTAACATACTACTACATTTAACTAAGTGGAGCTTTGCTGCAGCGAGTGTGAATTTCTTTCATAATTCTTTAAATACCCTTTTTTCCCTCCCTCATGCCTGGTTGCTGTACCCATGCTGTAGGAAAGAACACTAGAAAAGCACAGGGGAATTATACCAAGAAACAAACAACAAAATGGGACAGCAACTTAGACCGTCAACTTGTTTTGTATAGTCTTTTTTAGTACTCATGGAAAGCAACTAAAATACCGTGATGAAATAAACTTTTATCCACTCCAGCTTCATCTCAGAAGAGCCACTGGATAGAAAACCTACTTTAATAGCTGTTTGCAGTGTGGTTGTAGCTATGCTGGCCCCAGGACATGAGAGAGACAAGGTGGGTGAGGTAATATCTTGTATTTGGACCAACTTCTGAGAGAGACAAGCTTTTGAGCTACACAGCACTCCTCTTCAAGTGATAAATCCAAATACCTTCAAAGGTTTAGTCAACTAAAAGGGTACATTTTCTCCCACTTGAGATATAACAATAGAGTAACTAAGGAGTCCCTCAGGAGAAACTGACACCATTGCATTTATATTTACCAAAGTTTCCCTAAAAATTTGTGGTATTAGAACCCAAGGAAAATCAATTACAGATAAGAGACCTATTAGTCATCCACTCCACTGACTTAATAATGTAGGATTTTTTTCTCCACTGCACTATATTGTCTAGTGTTTTGACTCTTCCAGTTAAGTGCTTTAGTAGATGGTATTTTCCCACTCACTTCTTGTAAGATATTATTCAAGTAAAGTAGACAGAGTGGAAAAAGTTTTTCCTAGTATTTAGCACATTTCCTTTTCAGCTTGATCTCATCTCAGGTTATACACCTGAAATAGTTTCTCTTCCTTTATATTTACACCCTTCACATTTTTTTAGATTACAGAAATACATATAAATGGTTTGTGCCTAGGTTATGCATTTAGATACTCCTAGTCAGCCAGACCTAATGTGTTACAGGACAGAATACAGCTGCAATCTGTATTTGATATATGAGGTATGTGTGTTGAGTGGGGGGTGTTGCACATCAGAGTTGACCATGCATTACCAGCACAGAGGAAAAAGATAATATGTAAATAACCTAGCTATTGTTCAGACTTAAAATAACACCATAGCAGGTGGCTCGTTTTCCACTGAGTTGTACTGTGATTTGACTATGTAGCCTCAATAAATGTCAGGAATTTTTTTAAATAGATTATGTTCCTAATGCTATATATGGAAAAATGGTTGTATTTTCTGAAATAACAGGTCCTACAATTCCTTCAAATGGGGAATGCTAGATGATTCCGACTGTCTAAGATGTTTCCACCGTTAGCTTCTGCCTGAGCTGGTCTTTTTTAAACTAGGACATGTAGGCAAAGTGACAGAATAAAAAGATACATGCAAATCATTTTTCTTTATTAATACTCAATGAGATAGTAGCTGGATAATGCTTCCCTTAGCTACCAGCCCTTCAGAGTTGAACTACTGCATGGGCAAAGCCTTAAGGGCAAAACTGCAATCTTTTAAATACATTCTTCTGGCACAAAGCTAAACAGAGCACACTAGATGTCAATGCTTTTTAAACAGCAATGACTTTATTACCCAGAGCTAATGCAAACATTTTCCACACCTGCCCTCATTTAGCAATTTATCCAAACAAGGTACACAAAAGCTATTTATTTCAAAAGTAATCACGTTATGTTGTCCTTAAATGTATTCTCATTTAAAGTGATTACTGTTCAACCCTGCAATCTGGCTGTGACTCACCAGCCACAGCCATGAAATACGGTGAATGATGAGGATAGTACAGAATCTTCATGCATGCAAGATAGAAGATGAAAAACTATCTAAGAATGTATTTTTATGCATCAAAATTTATTATATTTAGAAGAGGGCCAGACTTATTTTGGGCAAAATGAACCACAACTAACTTTAGCCACAGCAGAACAGAACATCAATACAAATAAAAACACTGTGTGCTGTATTTAAGAAGCTTAATATTTCTTCATTTTTAAATATTTATATATTAAAGATGCTATAGATTTTTGTAAATTTTATAAACAGGAAGAAAATATATTATTGGTATTACATACCATTTAAGATATGCAAGCAACAGAATAAGAACAGTTGTATTAGTCCCACACATCTGTTTCAAATAACAGTGCATTATTTGCACAGGAGATTCTTCTGCTCCATTAGGGCACCTTTCAAGCAAACAAATGAGGAGTCTCCCTCCCCTGACCCTACACTTAGTACTCCCTACCTCCGTACAGCTACCAGGAACTGTCAGTACCGGAGCAAGGGACAGCTCTTATACTGGGGGTTGTATCTCTTTCCCAAATTACCAAACACTGAATAGGCTTTACTTCTCCAATGACTCTTGTACAGCAACTATTACTGATAAAATGTTTCACTTTGCTGTGGCTCCACCCTGCCCCCCAAATGGTCAGATTTTAGTTATTTTTTTATATATATAAAGCTATTTTTGCTTCTTGTTTGAAACAGCTCAATGCTCCAGCGATAATCACAGAGATAAGGTTTGGCTCCTGGGATGTAGGAGCCCAGAACGTAACTCTCACATTCTGGCTGGTACAAACTGGAATTGGCATTCAAGTCAGAGGTAACACCATGGTGCCCTTGTTTAATGCACTGGAACCTTAGGAAAATCAAATAGCTCTGAAATAATCCAAAAAAGCAACCCTGTAAATGGGTGATTTCGTAGCGATATAACACTATATAATCCCAATTTCATGTATCAGTACCAAAGAAGTGGTGCATATTTCCCACATTCACAAGCAAAACATCATTGAAACCAGAAGGAAACTGTTTACCTCTACATTTATTGCAGATTTTAAAAGATTAACAATGCTAACATCTTTACTTGTACTAAAAAGAAACTTTAGTTATCCAATAATATAAGCATCTACTTATTACTAGCTTAGCACTACTGCCAATTTGCACAGAACAAAAACTAACAAATTGCTCTACAAGATCATCAACAGTAAAAACAACCAAAAGACAGCAGACACACCACTGAAGTTAGTTAAAATGTTCACTGATGCTTGTAGTCTTCATGGAAGAGAGCCTGGAAACTAAAATAACAGAAAAGAAACTAGTAAACAAGGCAATGTATCTGCACAATGTTTCACATATGTACCTGTATTTAAATTTTCAAATCAGAGCTGCCTGCAAAAGCAGGTTAAAATAAAGGGGGGAGGGGAATTCCTTTTGCCAAAGGAGAGTAAGGTCATCTCTTGGTAAAACAAGATAAAAGTGGTACACAGAAACCCACTTGAGAGCAACACTGGAATCTTAGCACCAGTGCTGCTCTGCTGATATCTTGTCCAAAATTAACGCTTGGCACAAGAAAGATTGACCATACTAGTTATCCAGGGCAGCAGATTAAGATTCCCTTAGGAACTACTGTTCACATTCATTTTCAAGAGTGCATAATACTCAAGGAAATTGCTCTAAATTGAGTTGAAATCAGCAGGGAATGTACCATTTTCCAATCTGGATACTGAATTTTTCCAGACTGGATAAGTAGGTGTTCAGCAAATGTACCCCAAATGGTACCGTGCCCAATCTGTTTAAACCAGAACAGCCCAGAATGGTGATCAGGGTTGAGGGGGCTGAGAAAATGCATCCCAACATAGTGTGAAGCCACACATTGATTTGTGTCTTTTTCTGCAAATAGCACAGCATGGAGTCAAGAGATTTTCTTCCAAAATGTAAATGTGAAAGAAGAGGTGAACTGGAAGCATGTGGGAAAAAAATAAAATAAAATAATTGTAAAACAGCAACAATGGCAGCTTCATCAATGAAACAAAGGAAAGTTAAACCCATATTAGTGGGTATGAGAAATAACTCTGGGGCCAACACTATTGGTTCCAGAGCATCATTCTACAACAGACCACGAATGGTGGAACTCCTCTTTTAAAAAAAACAAAAAACAAAAAAACCCTCCGTTTTTGCATTCAACACAATGTCTAATT